GGGTTGGGGGGACCGGGCAGACGGGCTGTGCAGGAGCCCGCGAGGATGGTCCCCATGACTCCGTCCCCCACTCCAGGCCCCAGGGGAAGGCAGAGCCTGAGGACCTCATTTCGGGCATTGTGCTCTCAGGCCATGCTCAGAGCCACGCACCCCTTCTTGTGCGTGGGCTTTGAGGCTCCTGGACAGGGAGCTAAGGGCCCGCTCCAGCCCCCATCACCCCCTTCCTCATCAGGGCTGGCTGGCAGGTGCACACACAGCCAGCCGTAAACCATTAACCTGGGCCACGCTGGCAGCTGCCTCCCCAAAGGCAGCCCGGTGCCGGAAGGGCGCAGGAAGGATTTTTCCGACGCTCTGCGCAGCTGCTGTCCATCCCCCTGGCCTTGCTTTCCCCGTCCTGGACCCGCCCGTCATCCATGCTGCCGTGTCTGCTGACCTCCTGCTCCACTGGGCGCTGGGAGACGCAAGCGGCTACCAGTGAGCCCCGCCATCCTGCAGCCCAGAGTCTGGAGGGGAGGGACCAACAAGAAAAGGGTGAAGAAACAAAACTGGCTCAACAATAGAGGAGAAAATACAAAGCGGAAAGAGAAGATGGCATTCAGGGCGGACTCCTTGGAGGAAGCTTCCTTCCTTGAGCCTGCCATAGCTTCTGATGCTGCCTACAGGGCTGGGAATAGCAGTGTAAAGGCACTGAGGCAGGAAGCGGCTGGCAGCATCCGGGACAGCTAACAGGCAGGGATGGAGAGGAGACAGCGGAGGGAGAGGTGGTGCCCTGTGAGGTCCCGCTCGGGAGGTGGCGGGGAGGGCTTTGAGCTGTGACTGTGGGCGGCCTGCCCCCTGGAAGCCCCCTCCACCTCAGGCGCTCTGCTGGTGGGGAAGAGCTCATTCAGAAGGCAGCTCTTAAATGGGGGCGCGGGGGGAGGCGGGGACTGGGCTCACACCTGTCACCCTAGTTCCTCCAAGATCTGCCATCCTAGGCAGAAAACTTTTAGGAGACTCCAACTCCAATGAACCAGCAAAAATCCAGGTTGGAGGCATGGCTCCAGGGGTAGGGCACCATCCAGGAGCAAGAAAGCCTCCCGGATCCACTGTCAGCCTGTACCCACACCTAGGAGGAGTGAAAGCTGGGGGTGGGGTGGGGGACTCACTATCGCCCCCTGCTGGCCCCTAGCAATGGCGGGTCCCTAGCAACAGTGGGTCCCTAGCAACTATGACTCTCCGGTCACCAGCTCTGCCTTGGAAGAGCTGGGTGGAGTTGAGTCCTTCAGAGGGGTTGGAAGGAAATAGGACCTTTCTGTCTCTGGGTGCCAGTCTCCTGGAGGCCCTCCTGGGGCGAGGTCAGGGCAGGGTCAGGTGTGCTGGGTGGCCCAGGGCGGAGGCGGGCTGCAGGTACTGCTGGGCCCAGGCCCTGGAAGCAGGTGCTTGGAGGGCTGGGGGGGAGCAGGTGCATCGCCGCCCAGTGCCGGGGACCCAGGGACCCGCCGGGCTCTGCGTCTGAGCCACGCCTCCTGCTCCAATGCTCGCCCGCATTGCTGGGGGATGACAGACACGCACTGCCGCCCCCAGCCATTGGTGAAGATAGAGGCTCCCACACTTTCATGCCCCGAGGCTGGCCTCAAACCACCATCGTTTCCATCTCTGCCTCCCAAGTAGCTGGGATTACAGGCTTGAGCCATTGCACCCATACTTAATTTTTTTTTGAAAGGTCTCAGACATCAGAATGAAGTCAAGGGTGGTCTCTTGGGGTGTGTGGAACTGCTTCCAGAGCCACCCCCCCCCACACAAGATGCCAAATCCACGCGTGCTCAGACACCCATCTGAAAGGCTTGGTGTTTACACACAGCTCCTCCGTAAGCCACGGTCTTCTCTAGAAGGTGTCAGGTGCCAGTCCCGGGAGACGCTCTTTCAATAGTTGTAACGTGCTGCTTAGCAAACCAGGACGAGGATAAGCCCTCCAGGTCTCTGCAGTGCTTTCTGAATACTGGCTGACTGCGGAGAAGGAAGGAAGCGTCGGAAGTAATGTCGCACCCCCCCCCCCACCGCGGGGCAGCCACGGCTCCTGCCGGCCAGAGCTGAGATTGCTGTTGGAGCCGCTGCAGTAGTAGGAGCCTGGTGTGGGGGTCCCAGGGGGTGTGCAAACAGCTGGCCGGGCTGGGACGTCCCCCGTCCTCCCCTCCCTCCCCCAGGTCTGAGCTGAGGCGCTTCCTAAACTCCTCTGCCCCACCCAGCGCTGCAGCCCGCCACGCCCCACCCCTGCCACACCCCCAGAGCAGGTTAAACATTGAAAGGCCACCAGCGCTTCCCTCCCACGCAGGGCTTTTCCCTGCTCCGCAGAGCTGGCACCTGTCCCCTCCCTGGCCTAGCTCCAAGGGGACTCTGTGGGGAGTTGGGGGTGGGGGAGGCATTGTCTTCCTGTTTTTTAGAGTTGGGGGAAACTGAGGCAAGAGAATCCATGACCCACTTTGAGCTGGCGCCACCTCCAGCACCCCCCACCCCCACCCCGCCCTTCCCTAAGCACTTGGGTTATCTGTCCTCTGGCTGCTGAGAACTCGGCATGTTTACCCACCTGCTCGAGTCTACCCACCCACATCTCGCTGGGCGTGCCAGACCCGGGGACACGCTGAGAGTCTGGCTGACTGTGGTTCTGGTGTGGGGTGAGCCTGCCTCTAGGTAAGCCCATGTTGGGGGGCCGGGCCCTGGGGCGTCAGGCTGCGAAGGGCTCCCGCGGGGCAGAGGGGTGGCATCCACGCTCCATCCCGCCTCGCACGCCAGTGGCCGTGGGGGGTGGGAGCTTCCGGTCCTCCTCCCTGCTCCGTCCCCCACAAAGCCCTCCAGGCCTCCGCAGGGCTCCTTGGCCAGCCTCTTAGAGAGGGGGAGTCAGGGCGCCCCGGGGGTCCGTGCCCACGCTGGGCGCTGGCTCAGCATTAGTCACCCCCCCTTGTCATTCTGCTCTCCCCACCCACCAAGTGCCAACCACGCAGGAGGGACGTGGGAAGGTGACTCAGGACTCAGCAGCCACCGTGGGCCTCGTGGGGGGGAAGGGGAGGGGGGAGTTCAACCAAGGGCCCCTGTGGCCCAGTCCCTTACGTTCACCCTTTAAAAACAAAAATTTTCCATTGGCCTTTCCACCGTTAAAAGTTTTTTGTTTTTTTTGGGGGGGGGTCCGGTCGTGGGGCTTGAACTCTGGGCCTGGGCACTGTCCCTCAGCTCTTCAGCTCAAGGCTAGCGCTCTACCACTTGAGCCACAGCACCACTCCGGCTTTTTTTTGTTTTTGCTTATGGGGTGCTGAGGAATCGAACCCAGGGCCTCAGGCATGCAAGGCAAGCTCTCTACCACTGAGCCACCTTCCCAGCCCCCTCCACCATTAAAAGTTTTAAACACAAAAACACAAGAGTCAGGTGGCTCACACCTGTAATCCCAGCTACTCAGGACACTGAGCTCTGAGGAACAAGGTTTGAAGCCAGTCTGGGCAAGAAAACCTTGTGGGACCCTTATCTCCAACTAACCAGCACCAAGCTAGAAGTAGAGCTGCGGCTCAAGTGATAGAGCATCAGCCTTGAGGTGATCAAAACAAAACAAAACAAAAAGCCAAGCAAGAGTTCAAGGCCTTGGGTTCAAGTCCCAATACCGGCACTTCAAAAGCAAAGCAGACTGTGTGGCGAAGCTCGGTGATTCGTCAGTTAGCACCGATTCGTCAGTTTCAGCCAATAAGAAGTGCAGAGGCACCCGGTTAAGTTTGCCTGTGAGGCAGTCAGCTGGGACTTCCCATCCGTTCTGGAAGCTGCTATCTCCTGTGTGTGCACTGAATGGAGCCGGTGGGCCTGCCCGCCACCGGCCACACCACCCTCCCTTCCCAGGCCGGGCCTGGGACAAGCCAGAGCAGCAGGAAGGTCGGGATGAGGCATGCAGGCCCCTCCCGGAGCTCACCTGGCAAGGGGTGGAGTGGGCTTTGCCGAGATCCCTTTCCCACTCACGATCTGGCGCCACCTGTGTGCCAGGCCTCAGTCCCAGGGCCGGGCCAGCCCCGCCAGAACAGAGAGACAAACAAGAGCTGCAGACAGGGGTCCCTGGTGCAGGCAGGTAGCAGGCACGCGGAGGGGAGAAGACAGGGCCTGGCGTCCCCTCCGTCCGGGGATTAAGTGGGTGAGACAGGTGCTGGGAGCTGGGCTGGCCGGGGCCATGGCCCCAGGACAGCTGTCCGCTTGCCAGCAGGGCCAGTCCTGCACTGTGTCTGGCTGTCTTCCTTCGTGCTGGTTTGGCCCTCTAGCTTCCCCTCCGTGCTGGGGGCTGGCCTAGCCTCTCCCATCAGTCCCACCTCTCTCCTTAAAGCTCCTAAGCTGCGTTTCCTTTTTGTGCCAATTCTGAGGTTTGAATTCAAGGCCCGGGCGCTGTCCTTGGCTTTTTTGCTCACGGCTAGCAGTCTGCCACCTTGAGCCACAGCTCCACTTCCGGTTTTCTGGTGGCTCATTGGAGATGAGGGGCTCATGGGCTTTCTTGCCCTGGCTGGCTTTGAACCGAGATTCCCCAGATCTCAGCCTCTGGAGGGGCTGGGATTGCAGGCGTGATTGGATTCTGTTTTATGGGCTCTTCAGGAACTGGCACTGTTATCTTGAGATAAAGGCCCCGCCTCTCCTCGGTAGTCACCCTTTTGGGTTTGGATTCGGCCCTATCCTGTTGGCCCCAACTTCCCAGCCTCTAGTTAAGCAGGTACTGGCCCGAAGTGCTCCGGGCCCAGCTCACGTCCCTCCGGGTGAGGAGGATGAGGATTCAGCCCCACAGGACTTGTATTCTGAAAGGGAGCTGCCTGCAGAAAGCAAGAATGCCAAATCCTCCTGAGGGTGGACAGGGGCTGCCTAGGGGCCGCGGTCAGGGGGAGCCCCTGGCATGGCCCCTGAGAGATGCCCCAGCCCCCGGAGGAAAGACCCTGAGTAAGGAGGAACCCCCCCAGCAGCCTGTGGCTCCGCGCAGCCAGTCACGCAGCCCCCCTGTGCCCCGCAGGTGAAGCAGATCATGGAGGAGGCCGTCACCCGCAAGTTCGTGCACCAGGACAGCAGCCACATCTCCTCCTTCTGTGGTGAGCCCCTGCCCCGGTGGGGAGGGCGTGCCGGGGTCATATACCCCACAAGGGCTCTGCACACCCTGCGGTACTGCCGGGTGGGGCAGGAGATGGGGGGGGGCAGAGGCCTGGATGCCACAGGCCCCGGGGGACGTGACGCAGGGCGTGACTCACGCTCCACTCCCCCGCCAGGAATAACCAGGCTGCCGGCTGTGCCTGCCACAGGGCCCAGCCCAGCTCGGCTGTGTGTGTGTGTGCATACAACCACCCAGTACACACACATGCACACCTGCACACAAATATACACATGCAGATATGTGCATACCTGTGTAAACACACAGCCTCACACATATAGACACATGCATATACACAATCATACACAACCACATATACATGCATGTGCACATGCACACACGCACACACACTCACCAGTGCCGCGACTTCCAGCAGAGGCTGAGCAAGGCCAGAGCCTAGGCCACCTGCTGCCTCCTCTCTCAGGAGAGCAGGGAGCCTCGCATGGGGCCCACACAGGCCGAGTGTGTTCCCTGACACAGGCCGGCGCCTCAGCTCACCCCTTTGCAGCCAGGAAGGCCTGGGTTCAAATCCCACCACTGCCACTTCCTTGTTGGGTGACGTACACACGATCTTTTTTTTTTTTTCTTTTTCCTTCTGGTACTAGGGCTTAAGCTCAGACCCCCACCGTCTTGCTTGACTCACTGCTGGTGCTCCACCACCAGAGCCACGCCTCTAGGCCAGCTCTTTTACTACTTAATTGGAGATGGGGGTCTGATGGACTTTCTTGCCCAGGCTGGCTTTGGACCTCCAGCCTCCAGATCTCAGCCAGCTTGCGTAGCTAGGATTACAGGCGTGGCTCCAGCACTGACTTGCTGCTGGCCTGGAATGATCCGCTTCTCCCCTTTTGTTTGTTGGTGGGTTGCAGCAGCCCTGTAACCCCAGCAGCGATGGGCGTCACTGGTGACAAGGCTGGGCCTTTTACCAGCGACCAGAACTGCTCTCCACCCCCACACCTCTGTCCTCTCTCTCTCTCTCTAGCAGCCTCAAAGCACCCACTGTGTGCCAGCTCTGCTAAAGACTTGCCAGGCACTTTTTCATTATCTCAGCAGCTGAGGTCCGTGCAGACTCTTCCCCTCTGTTCCAGAGGAGGAAACTGAGGCACAGAGGGGGAGGTCCCTCCCCACAGTCACCCGGCAGCCATGGCCCCAGTGTGGCGGCTGTGGTGCACACGGAGGGCCGGGCAGGGCCTGCTGACCGCTCGTCCCCACAGCCGCGGTGGAGGCCTGCGTCCTGCATGGGCTGCGGCGGCGGGCGGCCGGCTTCCTGCGCAGTAACAAGATCGCGGCCCTCTTCATGAAGGTGGGCAAGAGCTTCCCACCCGCCGAGGAGCTGAGCCACAAGGTCCAGGACCTGGAGCAGCTGATCGAGAGCACGTAAGTGCAGAGCTCAGGGGGAGGCCAGGCAGGACCCCAGGACAGTCCACACGCCCCCCCCCCAGGCCCTGCCCCAGCCCATGCCTCCTGATGGGTCTCTGCCCACATTAAAGCGGCCATGCAGAGCGGGCTCATCGGCTTTGGTTGAGGGACAAGGGGGAGCCGAGGCAGGGAATTCTGGGGGACAGAGTATGGCCTGGGTCACTCACTGCCTGTCACCAGGGCCGGCCCCCTGGGGTCCTGGCCCCAAAGCCAAACCCTCCACCTGGAGCCTGGGCAGAGAGATCGGGTAAGTGGAAGGTCCAGGCAATGCTTGTGGCTCCCAGAGGAAATGATTCTGCACCAGGACTAGGAAGAGTGCATGGATTGATTGGTCATGCCTGCCACAGGCAAGGGAAGGGAAGAGACCATCTTCACATACTCCGCCTTTCTTTCACAAAACCCCAGAGGCAGTCAATCAACTTAGAAGGACAACAGGTTTCCTGGGACTCCTGGCTTTAGAAGCCAAGCCTCCCAGTCTACCTCAGGCAGGAGGGCAGGACCTGGGTCTCACAGCCCCCTGGGAGGCCCCCCCTCCCCGCCATGCCTAAAGCCTGCCACTGAGCCCCTCTTCAAGGCTCTGAACACACCATCACCCCGCGGAGCCAGGCTCCGCCCAGTCCACACCACGGCCACCCTCAGTCTCCCTTCAGCCCGCCAGGGCCCCTTGACCTCCCCGGCCTCGTCCCGCCTCCCACGGCCCACCCCGCCTGCACGGTGGGCAGGGCTGGGGTTTGGCCTGGCGTTCCCCATTTGGGTGACTCCGCCGCCCGTCAGCCAAAGGCCTGGTGTTTGCAGATAACTCCTGAAATGGTGAAACCCTGGTCTTCAGTCCTGGGGAGCCAGGGGAGAGAGGGAGGGAGGAGCGAGGAGGGAGGGAAGAAGGAGAGGAGGTGGAAGGTAAATGGAGGGTTGGGGCGGGGGGGGGGGGGGGGGGGACGTGGAAAACAATACCTGGGGAATATGAAAACGCAGAAATGTAGTCAACTGATACTTTGGTTGACAGTTGAGATTTGGACCCCCTCTCTCTTTCTCTGAGATTGGCTCTCATGATGTAGCCCAGGCTCATTCATACTCAGGATCCTCCTGTCTCTACCTCCCGAGTGCTGGCTGGGACGGCAGGCATGTGCTACCATGCCCGGCTTATTGTTTTTCAACTCTTGGCTGACTTGAAGGAGCCATGAGGACTTGGTGATGAGCTGTCGTTCCTTCCCTTCTCAGAGCCAGTGTCCCTCTGTCCATCTGCGCACTGGCCCTGTGAGATCCACCACTCCTGAGTCTCTGTTCTCTCCGTGTTCTCTCAGGCGAACCCAGATGCAGGGCCTGCAGGAGAATGTGCGGAAGCTGCCAAAGCTGCCCAACCTGTCCCCGCTGGCCATCAAGCACCTGTGGATCCGCACCGCCTTGTTCGAGAAGGTTCTGGACAAAATTGTTCATTACCTGGTGGAAAACAGCAGGTGAGGGACAGGCAGACACCCGAATGCTCTGCCGCCACCTACTGGACATGCTGCAAATTGCAGCCTCATGAGCAAAACCACTTCGTAGTTAAAAGCCGCTGAACAAAAGCCACCTGGATGTTTGACGCTGGACTAGCCTGGATGAGAACCTGGGGAGGGTCCCCACTGTCAGAGCAGGGAATGGGGCGTCCTGCGATTAACTGTTGTGGCTTAACCTCTCTGTCTCCTTGGTTGTCTCTCCTGGTAGATGGGCCAGGCTAAAGGGGAGGCCCTGGGTGTGAAGGCAGGGCCTCGCACTCGCTAGACACAGGCTTTACAGCTCGAGCCACACCCCCTGCTGGACTGCCATCCTCCTACTTGGCACCTGAGTGGCTGTGGTGACAGGCGTGAGCCACCACCTCAGCCACTTTGCCCTTTTCTATGACAGGTTCTCCAAGCTTTTGTTCACGTTTTCTGGTGCCCATTCTGGGGCTTGAATTCAGGGCCTGAGCACTGTCCCTGTCCCTGAGCTTTTTTTGCTCAAGCTTAGTGCTCTAGCACCTGAGCCAGTTCCACTTTTTGCATCTGCATGCCTGCATGCCTCTGTGTGTGTGTGTGTGTGTGTGTGTGTGTGTGTGTGTGTGTGTGTGTGTGTGTGT